AATTGTAAGAAAACATAAGGAGAATCGAAGATGGGAAATTAATTAGAAGTGAGAAATAAGAAGGTAAAAGAAGCAAAATTATATGATATCGTGTCATTTCTATTTTATGTCACGCATATGGGTGGTCGTCGCTTATCTACCTTTGTGCGCAACATTGTCACATTCCGCTCGCATCCTATGTCACAATAACCAAAATATTCGCCATCTTCCCACTTATATCATAACTGGTGAAGTGAGTGTTTCCCCATAGCAGTATCATCGGCTTCGTCTTCCCTCATCGGATCTCTCGACTTAATTGTGCTGGTATGGAATGGCGTCAAAAACATATTGCGATGCTCTCATGGTACGAGCAGGTCCTGTTGATATATACCAAGGTTAGGATATCTAGGAAGGTATAACGAAGGTGTTATGATTGATCTTTCAATCTAGAAATATAGCTGTTGGTGTATTTTATGAAACATAATCCAGGATAGCAATTCCACCAAATCGTCATTGACGGATCAATCCGGCCATTTTGATTCTGGGTAATTTGATTCGGGTTTCTTCTCGCGAGGTAACGGCCGTGGGAAATCGCGTGGCGTTGAGGTGGTGTTCGGGTTACTTGGTGCAGTCTGTGTCACTCCGGCCAATGAGGCATCCGTTTCAGAATGCTCTGCAGTGTAGGCACTTGGGCGTCTGTCGGGGAGATCTGCCACCATCATAGTTGCGTCCATAACGTCTTCCGATTGCAACCATGGTGGCTTAGGAGTGGGGGCAGCGATTCTCGGGGCATGAGAGATATCGGAGGTGATGCGGTTGGGGTCAACAAAATCTGGATATCCATTTGGTCCTGTGGAGAATTCTGGGCTCCATGAATGGGAATTGACCAAGTGCACTAGCTTTCCAAGGACCGCAAATTCTAGCTTCAACTTGACGCTGTATATCATTGCTTTAAGTGTTGTTTCATAGACGTATAGATTCGCATATGCTACTGCAAGAAGCCCAATGTCCATCAAAATAAAGATCAGGTTGATGCCTAGAAGTTGATACATGATTTTTCTGTTTCCGTTATCGGGAGAAAGCTTCAACATATTCACTGTTTCCCATATGTAGAGAGTGGATATGATAAATTCTTGAATGCAGAACCCTGTCATCTGTATCTTCTCCATGATATTGTAGGCAGGAACGAACAAATCCTTCGAGTTGGAATTAGAACCAAAAGTCAGGATGGTAGTGGGAACATGGAGGATAAAGACGTTGACGATGATCATGCACAGGACACGGCGAAGAACTTTCTCATCACGCAAGACCAGATGCAGTCTAGAATAGAGAACGAACGACTGGCCCGTTATCATAACCCACCAGCCGCACGACAGCAGAACAACTGCCAGCCAGATCGATTCCATCAACTCAAAGAATTTTAGCAGAAACCCGATGCAATAGGGCACAACTCCGACGAGAGCCGTAAGCAGCAAACTCCAAAAGTACAGGCCTCGATATGTATTAAAGGCCATAAACACCAGAGCGCATAGTTCGATAGCATTGTACCAACCGATCGCGAGAAAGACTCCGATCGCGATCTGGGTACCCAAATGGCCGGAGTAAGCTCCCGTAACGCCATCGCCTGTTCCCATCGCCATGAGTAAATTCCTTCACACACTCTTGACCGGGAGAGGAGGAAGGAGGGAATCGGTTAGCCACAAAGCTAGGTTAGAAGAGGGTCATAGGATTTAAAGAAGAGAGCGGACAGTACCAGCGGCATCATGGCGGAGACATGGGAACAGAGAAATGAAGCAAGAGTATCAACCATGAACGACAATGTTTATGATAACTGTTAAAGGTGATAGAAGGATAAATGCAGAGAAAGCGTGGAGAAGGACAGTATGCATGATTTGAAGAATGACAGTGACGGGTGATCACAACGGCTGGGACTAAAAACTGGACGTGAGCAATTATCTGCCTTCCGCAACTTCGACTTGCAAGCTGCCAAATCAACCTCTCGAACTTAGCCATGGTAGATCAGCTAACTCCTAATATTGATAGGGTACCACTGCAATGGAAAAGAGGAGAAGTGGATGTCAGTGGTACAGCTACATGTGGATACTAGTTGTACATAGACACGGCAGCGAAACAATCCTAGATACCCGCGAGTCATAACAAATATATTTAGGCAGAACAGTGAGTATTCTCCACAAAAGAGAGAAACATATGCTGGCCAAAGCTGCACCTGGCCAATACAAACACTGTTCGGTAATATGCAAGTGGTCCGGTCCCTCAGCTGCCATGTGGGGCGGGTATATCGAGGTTGAGTCCTCGGAGACAACCGACGGTGACAGACAGGAACCTTGGAAGAGGTTTCATGCATGTCAACGCTGCCGAGGCTGCCAAAAAGCGATGTTGCGCAGTATCCAGAGGAAATCAACGAACCAGCCATGCTCTAGGTTCACTGGTAAATTCTCCGTCTTTTGACACACCGGTGGACATACAATAGCGCAGTGCGGGCAGTCATGGTCTCGTTGTAACAAATAAACTCAAGTAATCATCCCTTTTCCTCCATAGAATGCAGTGCTTATTAGTTATCGGTCATGTTTAACAAATGGTGTTAGCATAAATGAGGTTCAGGCGGATTCCAGCTGGCTGGTAGACCGCAACAAATTTCCAAGGTTTGGTCGTGTCGGTGAGTTGTGTTATTTCACCCTGAGCACTGACGAACTGACAAACGAAGAAGACCTCCGGCAAGGTCTGCCAATCGCGTGGTTAACTAATTTTAGGGACCGCTAAGAACCTTGGAGGTTGTCATGACTGCATATTTTGTTATCGAGAGGTAGACTATCCAAAGAACTGCTTCGTATAGACCTGTATGGAACTGTACATGTACTTGTACCGGACCCACTTTCACTATTCATTATAACAGCCTGCATCTCTGCGTGCATATATCTCAGCCCTGACCACGACTCAATATTAATCATTCATTATCTAAAACAACGACTGGATATGAATATTATCTTGGGTAGCACAGCATCTCAGCCTTAGAACTAATATTAGGAATTACCTGCCTAGATTGTTCATTCACGAGAAATCCCCAATGCTTGCCACTTGAGTCCGCCGGGAATCCCCCTTCTCATAACAGAGATGCTTCGTGCTGCATTTTGTTCATTCCAGGTTTATCTTATAATGGCTGTTACACATTTATTGCATATTTGCGGAATTCGCATTGGTATCACCAAGGGGTTGTCATTGGAGCTGACAAGATATTTCATTCCAGATTTAACTCGAAGAACATGCCGGAGGCTCGGATCTCTTGAGGGGGAAGCTGCAAAACAACAGGAAGACTGAGGGCATTGTGAACAACGTGTTTCATTTAATTTCTTATCATGTACAAATATTTCCAAGGTTAGCTTTAGTGTCAAGCTTCAAAATAATTTTCTTCAACAGAAACTAATATTATCATAGCGGAGAGGTCAATTTTTCAGCATCCAAAGGACATTGATAACTAGACAAATTTAGAACTGACTTACCAATCTCTGCTTCTTGCTTTTTTGTTGTGGAACAGTTAACCAATATCTGAGCTTCCTCCCCGGGCGTCACTTATCATTTTAGTCCCTATTCCAGCATTCAAGGCGGTAAGTCATCTTGTCAAAAGGCCTTGTCCATGACTTAATTCTTAAAAGTACTGAAACCTTCATCTTTATGAAACAAAAGGTGCAGGATCCAGGTTAGCAGATCGGATGGTTCATTGAGTAATGGGCACCAATGCCGCGTTTAATGTTTAGAAATCCAGGATATTATGTGGGCTTCCAGAAAAGAACGTTTGAGGTTCCAGTAGAAGGAGTGTTTTGTGGAAACCCCGATTTTGCTGGAGTAAATACGTATTGATTTTAGACTCAACAACATATTGAACGGAGAGTGGGGGACATGTAGCAGCCAGTCTGGCTAGAGACGCTCCTCAGATTGAATGAAAATTGATATCCATGGATCGTGGGACAATACTCCCCGTGAGCTAACGCCAGGAAGATGTAAGATCTGGTTAGATATATAACTGTACTGGGACCTGGCCAAACTTAAAATGGGTATCATTGAATATATTTGAATCGTGAGTTGTAGAAAAAGTTAACATATAAAGATGGAAAATTATCCCCATAATTTGCAACTTCTGTTTTGTGCTAATTAGTTATAATAGATCGTCGACAGGATTCCAGCAAAACAAAATGAAAATCCCAAACAGATGAAAGCACCTGTTCGTAAATAGCAAACCAACAATCGAAACTGGTAAGTCTTCGAAAATAATTATGAAAACGCCCATACGCCGTCTATGAATCCACAAGATCCCAGTAATACAATGACTATTTCCAAAACCACATGTCCAGGGAAAGGGGAGTGAGAGGGAAATAATGTCAGACACACGACGTAACTAAGATAAAACACCCAACCTCAACCCCCATTTTCCTCTCTTAGCTTGCCAACATCTTCGCCACTCACACTTCCACCAGTAGCCTTTAGAATCGCTTTCACTTCTCTTTTACACTCAAGCATCGCGCTCACCGTCTGCGTCGGCAGGACATCCCGAAAACTTGCAAAA